ATACATCTTTTGGTGTAATCACTATGGCCTCCACGTATCCTTAACATGCTACTCTATATATTGTGCTATATGGGTTTTTATAACTTACATTTTAGTAATATGAGACTAGGCGCAAATATGCCTTATTTATTTTTACTTTCTACTGTTTAGCTCAAGAAATGGACTCACTAAACAAATGCTGGATGATTGCCTCAAAGAATAAACAGGATTGCTGTATTTGGAACAGAATAGAGGGCAAAGGCTTAGAAGAGCATGCATATGTAAACAGGACTTGGTAACCAATTTGTTTGGGTTGTTAACTGGTAAGGAAGGATAAGCAAAAAACACTAGTTTGTAAATGGCAGTACAGGCCATACTAATGGGAACAAAAATTCAAAGAGATTTGAGTCTTATCTTTGAGGACATATGACTTAAGAGATTTTCTTTTTTTAGTTCTGTAATGCATTCTCCAGCTGATTTCCTAACAGTAGTAAAGCTCTTAAAGTACTTAAGAGCATTTTCTGAGAATATTGTCATAGCAATTTATTCTGAATGCTTAGGTTGTGCTAAACTATCCCTAAAGAAGCAATAGTAGTATTCATATCTTGGAGGTAACCAACCCCTGTGTGATTGGACTTAAAGGGCAACACAACCTCCCCAGGGGGAAAACCATGAAAGTTACTCCAAACCTATCAATTACCCAGGGCTGGTGGAGTCATGGATGTTAGAGAAGAAACATATTACAACTACTTTACTAAACCAGTATAACTCCTAATTGTATTCTAAATGCTTTTCCTTGTACTCACAGATAAACTTCTCTTTGCAGCAGATAGAGATCATTACAACATGCCACAACGATCAAAATGCAGAGACCAACCAATCATGTGGGCACTCAGACCAAACAGACATATCTACAACACAACCATCCAGCTAATGCTTAGGGAAGATCATGGAAGAAGTGGGTGGAAAGATTGTAAGAGCCAGAGAACCAAGAAGTTAGCTATGTGATTGTTTCTCCTAGAAATGACAGGGAACCTACACCTATGACCTCAACAACAGAGTTGCTTAAACAAGACCTGAATGATGACAATAACACCAATAGGCACAGTAAAGTGGAGAGTGAAAAATATCACAGGACTCCACCCCTAGACAAAGAACTACTCGATACTATTGACTGTAGAGAGAGGGAGAATAAATCTTCCCCTAGGGATGAGCACCTAATTGGTCATCCCTAGAATTATGCATATACAACCTGCATTAAACAGACTTAGCAAGTTGTATTTATACATTTATACATTTGTGTATATGTGACAATACTAATTAGGGGTGGGGAGTTGTAAATTTGGAAGTAAGTGAAGAGGGCATAGGAAAGGGGGGGGTGGAGAGAGGAGAGGGAGGAGTAAATGATGTAATTATATTTAGTTTTTAAAAATCACAAAAAGAAAATTTATGCTGCCAGTTAAATTCTGGGATTTTTTTCATATCAGATATGTATTCATTTTATTTGTTCTTTTTCTTCCTTCAAAAGTTATTACTGTAGTTTTAGACAGATGAACGTAAGGGGTTTGTGTGTGTATGTGTGTTAGGTATGCGTATGTGCATATATGTGGAAGAAATGTGGTTATATGTGTGCTTATGAGTGTGTGTGTGTGTGTGTGTGTGTGTGTGTGTATCTGTGGTACTGGGGATTTAATCTAGGGTCTCATGCACACTAGGCAAGTACCAAATTTTCTGTCACTGAGTTACATTTTCAGCTCACAACAGATATTTTGTATATTTTCAGTCCTCCTCATTCTGTTTAGATGTTAAATCTTGAAATGTGAAGGAGAACGAGAAAGAAATATTTCTAAGCTCCATTATGTTGTTTATCCAATTAGGTCAAATAATAAAGAATCCTGGAGAAAATGTCTCTAACAGAACTAACACACTTTCCTCTTTCCTTTCCATGTCTACATACCAAGGCAACCCATTGGGTCTTAAGCCAGATGCTTTCTTTCTGTTGCTCGAGTCAAAAGATGCAGTCATATTTGCCAGACATTGAAGGTATTACATAAGGACTGCACAACTGGTTAGACTAATTAATAACCACCCAGCAATTTCTGTGGGTTTGTCCTTTTTGCAGCTAGGTTTGGGCTGATATTTCCGAATAGTTTCCAGGTCTCTGCTTTTCACAGAAGATGTTTGCTATACAACGGACGGCACCATCTGAATCCTCTGTTGGGCAAGAGTTCCCAGGATTCTGTTTGTTGTCCTGCATAAACACTGAGAACACAAGATTCCATTCCCACCCATAAAAAGAAACACCTGCTTTGCCAGTCAGTGAAGACTTCTGAGTCAAACTGCATACACACTATTTGGAAACAGCTTATAGGTTCATGGTGACAGTCTGTTCTCTTTTGGTCCCTTCACAGACAAAAGAGGCTTTCCAAGACCGTCACTTTCACCTGTGACAGGCAGAGTTCACAGAAGTGGGTTTCCCATGTCGGCAGTAGAACCCTATCCACATAGCAATGAGATGTTAATTTTTCATTGCAATGCTTATATCAACTCCCCAAAAGTATCCTTCACTGTACATGAGCATTGGTTAGTTGAGTATAAGAAGATAAAACTCTTGCACCCAAATTCTTGACATTTCTTGTTTGGTTTTCTTTTCTATTATTTTCAGGTGAACTTTTTTTTTTTTTTTTTTTTTTGCTAGTCTCATAAGACATGAACATAAAGCAAAAGAAGATAATAAGCAGAATTTTTACATTTCAATATGTGATACTATAGAAAGATTCTAAAATGTCAGTGTCATTATGAGAGATGGCCTGAGTACCAAGGCTTCAAAATGCCCTTAAAGAATGATCATGCCTGACTTTAATGGGAAGGGAGGGAGGCTTGATGCCCCAGCATAAGCGGATGCGCTAGAGGGGTGAGGTAGGAGTAGGTGAGTGGGTTGAGGAGCACCCTCATAGAGGCAAAGGGGAGAGGGGAGAGGGAGGATTGGATGGGGGGTTTGTGGAGGGGTAGCTGGGAGGGAGGATATCTTTTGAAATGTAAATGAATTAAATGATTAAAAAAATAAAAAAGAATGATCATGTCCATGATCAGTGAATGAGTTTGAGAAAGATGATCTCATCAACTCCATGTTACAGCCACAAAGGCAAATGCCCCGGAAGTTGATTTGATTGCAGTCCTGAGAGCTTGAGTTTGGACCACGGCACTTGGGAATCAGCTGACGTCATCTGTGGGAGACGCGCATGGCTTGCCATCAAAACCTTAGGAGTATCGTCAACAAAACGCCATGTGTGTGTGATGGCTGAAGGACAACATCATAACCTCATAAGTGAAATATTTTACCTATCGTGTTCAAATCTTTCTTTTGTAAATTAAAGAGAGTTTCTGCTAGAAGTAATTATAAATCAGTATTCTACTGTGGGCAGTTCAAAGAATCTGTGTGTGTGTGTGTGTGTGTGTGTGTGTGTGTATGGTTTTTAAATTCCAGGACTATTAGTGTAAACGGCAGGAGATATATGTAATACAATCATGTGGGAAGGACATCTTCTGTTTATAATTGGAGCTGTGTTCTCCGTCTTTGGAGGACAATTTCTTGTTAGTCTTTCAGAGCTCTAAGGCGGAGAAAGAAAAGCACGCTCCCTTCCTCCAGTGTACTAACTGAAGACACATTATGTAAACATAAATAAGTAAACATTTTCTAAAAAGAGGTTTAAAAATGTATGCTGTTTTTCAAAGTTCCCATTTCCCTTGAGTTTGGTGATGATTGGCTTGCTTTTGTGATACACCATGATCCTGGGATGGTTCATTGTGTTTTGTATTGTTTGTTTATTTGTTTTTCTCTTCTAAACTACTCAGGCTTGTATTTCTAAGCATGTAGTTTTTATAAATAGGACACATACTCTATGGGTGATATATTTTCTTGTGGAAGTAATTAGACACACAGTGTCCTACAACTTAAAATCTGTTCTAAAACAATATGGCCAAGTTTCAAGCTGATAGTTCAAAACTTAGATGTTTCCTACTGTGGCTTCTGGCTCTCACTTCTCTGAGATTTAGTGTCACTGGTCGCTTAAGAAGATGATGTGGATCTATTAGCACAGCATAAAGAACAGGCACTGTCTTAATGGCTTTTGGATATTTTGAGGATCTGGGGATAAAGATGGAGTGACGTCATCTAAGTAAATAAACAGGGTCAGAAATAATTCCATCTGACTCGTCAGCTGACTAAATGTATTCTGGATTGCAAAAGGAACCAAATGAGGAAGACCAAATGGAGAAAATCAAGATCTGATGGGAAGGTAAATTGAGGTACCCTTCCTCTGAGTGCCAGCAGAGTCTCCAGGGACCTGCATTCACTCAAGGGTTAACAAGGGAGCTCAGATTCCAAGTGTGGTGTGGCTGTTTCTTCTGAACTGAAGCATTCCCAACTAGAGGGAGGTGGGTGATTCAAACAACTCAAGCAGCTAAGAAACTTCCGAAACTCAAGAATCCCAGAAAGCTACAGGATTCTCAATTACTATCTCCAATCAGCAGTGACCCTGTTGGGGATGGGGAGGAGACTATGTTAGAGCTGCCAGGAGGTTGAGCCAGGCACTCTGAGAATGCAATTTCTATGATGCATCACTCGAGTTGGGTGAGCTTTTAGTATCCCGAGTCACATGTTCCCGTAAGTAACCTTGCCCTGATGTTTCTGGGAGGGCGGGGGGAAATCTTAATAAACTCACTGGGATTTCAGGTGCAAGGGATGTGTGAAGTTTTTTGCAGAAGGAAGCCCTCTTCAGACTCCCTTCCTGCCTGCAACCATTGACGATCTTGAGTTTTCCATGTCTGAACACTGACTTCTAATGCCTCATTTCACAATGCTGGTGGCCGCTTAGTCTCCTTTTCACTGTAATTGTTTCTCATGTGAAACAACACAGGCAATACGTTAAAAGTATAAGATAAACAAGCAAACAAACAAACAAAAACCAAACCCAGCAACCCAAAGCTACACAGCTCTGAGAGCCTGTGCAGACAAATACCTCATGGAAATGGCATCCACAATTGCCCTGCAGAAATTCTTTGTGTCGTCCCATTGTGATAGCGAATGTGTCTACTACTTCATAGCCATATTTTTTGGCAGCTTCCAGAATGCTCAGATTTTCTTTATATAAATTCCGTACTTCACTCTGCATTGCCAAGCAAGAGACATAGGGCTTTTATTAGCTGAGGATTATTTTATGCCTTAGTAACTAAAAAAACATGTTAGGTAAACAGCATCTTCTTTTATCAAGACTGGTTGTATTGGAGATGAAATCTTTATCAATTTTAAAAATAAAGATGTCCTCTATTTTTTCTCAAAACATCAGCATAACTAAATGAGTATCTACAGAGATACATAGTTTTGAATTTTTCCTTACCTATAGACAATTAAGTTTACTGCTATAAATGCATTTAAACTTCTCAAATTGAAAACTGGTATTTGACCATGAGGCAGACCTTCATTTACTTAGATTCTCATTTAATTAAGCCACTCGAGTATTAGCTGACACCTGATTTTTGCTTAGCTTCTTGCTAAGGACAGAATGGAAGGGGACATGGTGTGTGGTCTGTGCTTGTAAAACACAAATGTTCTAATTGGAGAAATGAATATATCCACAGCTAATAAATCCTTTATTGGGGGAAACACATCTTCCCTGCCAGGAGAAGTGGAAAGGCGGCACTATGACGCCTCCAGAAAAGACTCCAGAAGAACTCTGCTACATGGACATGGAGGAGGAGTGTGGTTTGGGGGAAGCAGCAAACCTGAGGGAGGGTTCCAGCGGTTGCTTCTCTGGATCACGTTCCTCCCTCCTTTCTTACTGTGTTGCTGACTGGCTGAGGTTCTAGCTCAAGTCCACCCTTTCCAGGAGGGACAGCGTCATCAATTACTCCAAGACCTTCCCGTGGCCTGGTTTAGTTTCTCAAACCCTGCCTTCAATGTGAGACTGCCCTTCCCTTGTCCAGCCTACTTGCTTCTCCTTTCATATCAGACACTGTGTTGAATTCAACCTTCAATATGTTGGCTGTTCAGTGGCTACACGGTGAAAACTGAATGAAATTCTTTGCAGCGCAGTGCAAATGCTTCCTGTCTACTCCCTGGGACTTCCTATTATTTGTTCTATGCATTTCCCCAGCACATCCTCTTACTCCATTAATCCTCCCAACTAACACAGGGAAGGAATCGCCATCCCCTTCCCCATCTCTGAAAGGTAATGGGAATGCTTGATTTTTTTTTTTATTAGAAAAGGCAAACAACAGCAAGATAAAAGAAGTGGTATGCAGCAACATGGTATGTTTTTCTGCTGTCTCTGCAGGTCTCTGTGTGCTTAATTTAAACTTGCACTCAGAGAAGAGTGTTTTCTTTAAGATAATGTCGACGAATAGAGAAACCTCATGAAGGGTTGGCCCCAGGGGAAGTGACACTAAAGTTGACACTTGACAGGTGGTTGGAAGTTACCCAGGTGAGGTTAGAATATGGTCCATGAAGACGAAGCATTGATCTAAATGACTGGAAGTCACTGAGAGCATGGCACACTTGGTGTGTGTGTACACACAACCTTCTTCTCCTGTGCACGCATACCTATGCTCTGCTGGCAAGGAATGAGTATACAAAGCAAGCCAGAGGCCCTTCTTGAACAGCTATGAGAGTATATGGTAGAGTTCAGAATAATGTGCAGAATCACTGGCCATAGTACCCGGTTCCTTTCTCTTCTCTACCTGTCTTCTTCCCACCTTTTGTCTTCACTGTTTGTAAAGACTGATGAGCTATGGGGGCAGGTGGAATCTTAACCGGGGTCCACAATAGAGCAAGTGCAGAAGACACGCCTGCTGCGATGAATGGATAGGCGCTAACAACCTAAATGTAAATGAAGGTCAGCAGTACTAGCAGCTGTGAGGACCAACGTCATAACAGGAATGTCTGGGGGTATGCGATGCTATTTGAGTCTCTGGAAAGAATCGCAGCCTATGAGTAATATTAAAAAGGCTCCAACTCCTAACTGACAGCATAAAACTATCCAAGTCCCTTCTCCTGATCTTCAATGATCCTAAATCCTTCTATTGACTAGAAGTTAATGTCTCAACTTGCTTTAACTTACCCAAGCCCAAGATGTCCTCACTATGCGGGATTTGGAGTGTTAATGTTGACTACAGTTCTCCTGTATTACAGGATACTTGGCATTTGGGAAAACAAAGCTTCTAGGAAGGAGAGGGGGAATCCTATGCTTTGTGCTTGTAAAAGCTAGATAGGCTCAAGACAGACTCAAAAAGCAATCTTAGCTTGCTTACATATCAAACGGACAGTAAGCGCTTGAACCACGACTCTGCGCATGCGCTTGTGGATCCACCTGGGCTAGTCTCTGTGCTTGAGTAGGAAGAGCTGCTTCTCTGACGTGCAGATATCTTTCTCTTCTGTGCTTATTTGCTTATTTTCCTATTTAGTACTGAGACAAATTTACTATGTTTAAGGACTGGCTAGAGGCATCCAATGCCTTTCATTAGTGGATAGCCAACTTGGGGAAAACAATGATCAAACACACACACACACACACACACACACACACACACACACACACACCACTTAATATACTGTCCTCCAAGAGATTCACTGTTATCGATAACTTCATTTTGTGGTTTCAGCATGAACATGAAGAAGGGAAAGTATCTTAATATATCCTCTAACGCTTTTCATCTACACATTCAGTGCTGCTTGGCACAGCTTAGGTTTTTTTTTTTCTCCCTCGAACGCAGCCCATAATTTATAGCACATTTATGGGCTACAGTCTTCTGGTCTGCAGGAAGCGTTAGGATGTATTTGGAATTATACTGGGTTTGATTTTTATGGAGGCTGATGGGAATTGTAGAATGCCTGTTGGATCCTTTGCTATCAGGGATCTTAAATTCACGAGGCCTAAGGAGAAATGGCCTCACCTGTGTTAAGTAATGCACTCCATCTGCCGGCAGGTGGAATCCAATCCCCAACGTTTTGATGATCACTAGGATATTCAGCAAGTTTTCCCTGAATAAAATGATGAGAATTTTAAAGTCACAAGCACCTGATGCATTTCTACCTGCTTGTTAATGACATCAGCATATATGACAGAATTCTTTTAGAATGTGAACATTTATATAGAACTAAACTCCTATTTTATTGATTTTTCACATAATAAGATTTTCTGTAGACAGAATTTTGTGTGCTCATGGATATTATTTAGTAATGATAATAATCTACCTTAAATATATTTGTTACTTTGTTTCATCTGAAGAATCACTTATATAGTAATGAGAATGCTTTAGACAAGGTTATCAAAACTTTCAATATACATGTATGTTTGTTCTGAGACAAGCTCTTACTCAGTAGTCCCTGTCTGATTTGAATTCACTATCCTCTTAGGGTAACCTTGGAAATGTTTGAATTACAGGTATGTGCTACCACACCTGACCAGAAAATATGTTTTGATCTCGGAGAAAGTTTAAATTAAAATGCTAAAGATCCCTGATTAGACATAAAAACATTTTAAACTGCAAAATTCGCCTTTAGGTTTTAATTCTAAATCCTAAACTTGCCCTTTCAATAAGCCCTGGATGAGGCTTGGTTATGAAAACGGCCCTTTCAAAGAAAAGATGAAGACATCGATGACAGTGGCTGCAGACAGTTACCTCTTTAAAACCTTGTGAATAATTTGCAGGTGATTGGAATTAAGCCACTGGACACCACCAACAACCAATACCGTCTGGTCAGTATTCTCGAGGGGCTGAGATCTGAAATCCAGAAAGAAAAACAACACATGTTGCTTTCGAACAGATGGTAAACATTTTAACTGGATCGCCTCACATTTCAATGAACCATGTCTGGCTTCCTGATCACAAGACTTCCTTGTCGTTTGCAGTTCATTTTCAGCCACATTAGTGGGTATCTAAGCTTTTCAGCACATTCAATATACCGTGTGCAATTATGACGGCACAATGGTGGCATTTTGCCATTCATAGTAGTTCCATTGTACCTTTGCAAGAGATGTTCAAGTGCTTTCTCAAACGCTGGTCTCAATGAAGGGCTTATCCAGAACTGGGGATAATAGGAGTAACTGATCGGAGTCTTCCCATCATTGACACTGGGGTAGAGTTTAGTGCCATGCAGCTTCTGCCACTCCTGAAGCGTGTCATTCAGTCTCTCAATTAGATAGTACATCATCCCTCTGTTGGTGGAGTCTCCTATGAAAAGAATCTGTAAAGAAAACATATCTGTCATCATCAGGTGTTTGCATGGTGTATAATAAAAATATTCTAATAAATGCTCACATAAACATATCTAATTGAAGGCTAGCCCTTAATAGCAACATCTCCCCCATCATAACATCCCTCAAACTTTTTATTTATCTCTTCCATGTTTTTAGTAATGATATCATCTCCTGATAGACTAGTTAATGTGTAAAGCATTCTTTTCATGTTATTTCCAATTTTTCTATCTCCCTTATATCCATCACTTTAATTATATTCGTCTAATCAGGTAACAAGATTTACTGACATAGAAATCCATGTTGTACTGTAGAACTCTGGGGATACTTAGGATTTTCAATCTATGTTTGATAGATGTGCAAACTCAGAACCCACTAAAGTAACTCCATAGAAGTAACTCCACAGAAAGTATGCCATTACTTAAAGAAAGAAAGAAAGAAAGAAAGAGAGAGAGAGAGAGAGAGAGAGAGAGAAAGGAAGGAAGGAAGGAAGGAAGAAAGAGAGAGAGAGAGAAAGAAAGAAAGAAAGAAAGAAAGAAAGAAAGAAAGAAAGAAAGAAAGAAAGAAACACACACAGGACTGGGGTCTTTCTGAGCAGTGTTTCTCACCCGACTTTGCACGTCCTAGTGGCATTTGTTTTTCAGTGAGGTCTGTCATACTGGCAGAACAGCCCAGCCTCAGGTTCGTACTACCTCAAAGCTGTACTGTTGTAAACCCACCACTCACTTTTTTTTTGGTACACCAACTCATTCAGCAATCTCTTATTTCCATACCCAAAATTATATCCACTCACCACTGCCTACAGAGTCAATTTTGAACTATTTGGGTTCAGCTAACAGTGACTGAGACTTTATTGCTTAATAGTCTCTGTTCTGTGGAAATTGCCACAGATGGGAAATTTGAGACCTGGGAAGACTGGGGTCATAAATCTCATAAATAGTGAACCCAAGACCCAAACCCAGGCTTTCTGACTTCAAGCGCAGGTCAGCGGCCTACCTTCTCATTGCATCTCCTCGTATCAGTGGGGCAGACTTAGGCTTTCTCATGGAACATGATTTGTATCCGACAACATCTGTTTTTCCCTTGTGCTAATCCATCTGCCTCGAGAGTTCTTTCCTAGACAATCCTGCCTGTCAAGCATCAGAACCAACAGAAATGGCTCTCCTGACAAAGGTCTCCCTTAGTCTCGCAGCTAGAGTGACTCACTCTGTATTCTGCAAGTCCATTACATTTTAGCTTCATTATAGATTTTATCAAAGGCTATGTGATGCTATGGCTACTTGCACATGTATCTTTCCCACTGTATCCTACCAAGAAGTATTTGAAAGGCAAATTTTGAAGTCCGCCTTCCCTCACAATGCCATGTGTACATGTGAAAAGTACTTAGTGACTTGAATGTAATATGACTTTCACCATAGACAATTGCCTTTGAGTGTTTTTGGATGAGACTTAACTCATTCTTCAGTTATTTTTTCCTCGTTGAGATTTGGTTTGTCTCTTAGTGATGCACATATTCCCTCTGTCACACTTGGAACCCCACACACTGTCACCAGTTCCCATAGTCACACCCACAGTGAATTTACTAAGAACCTGCAAAGGCTACTATTTTCCACAGTCTGCTGAGGTACCTCTGCGAAGAATCCTAGAAAGCTGCTCCAGATGCAATACTGTTGTCAGAAATGTGGTTACTAAATAGAAGGGCACAGCAGACTCCCCTCTCACTGATGATCTCAGTCAAATTTCACTGAGTGGAAATATTCCAGCACAATAAAATAGTGGAATAAATCCAATTGATTCTTGCTGGGCTTTGCATTTGGTTTTATGGTCTAAATTTTTGCTTAAAATAAAAAAGATTTAGTTTGAGCGGTGGAGATTCAACCCGGATCCTCACTCACGCTAGGTAAGCATTCTGTCACTGAACTATTCTAGTCCCTTCCTTACTTTCCATTGTGAGACAGAGTCTAAGTTGCCCAGGTTGGTCTTTAATTTGCTGTATAGCCTAGGCTTGCCTTGAGCTTGTAAACCTCTTGATTAAGTCTCACCAAATGGCTGGGATTACAAGTTTGTGGCACCAGGTTCAAGAGACTTCTTGCTTTTCAAGAGGACTTTTGAGTCATCAGGAAAATTCTTCAGGAAGTAGCAATGACTTACCTCTTTCTGTATTCATTTACTGAGGCTGTTTACCACAGACAGAGTAGCTTCAACAACAGAGATGTTTTGTATTCATTTCTGGAAACCAGAAACATAAATCCAAGGGGATGACAAGATTATTTCCTTCTGGAGGACTCTTCAGCTGGTAGATGATGATCTTCTCTGTCTTTCCCTGGTCTTCCTCTGCACATTTGTGTCCTAATCGCTTATGTAGACTCTGTCCATCCTGGATTTGGTACTTCATGTTATCCTATTTGCCACTTTAATGGTCTTATGTCTGAATATCAGAACTTTCTGGGTTACTAGGCCTTAGAAGTTCAGCATATGAATTTGATGGCAATGACACAAGTCAACTCAGAACACTAAGTTGAGAATCATTGAGATAGAACCTTTTGTTATTATGTTAAGATAGGGGCTTTATAACATTTGGACTGGCCTCTAATTCATGATCCCCCTGTCTTATCCTCTCAAATGCCAGCTAAATAAACTAAAGATTTTTCATTGTTTCTTTTTCATTTCTGTATTGAAGTTAGTCTTTCCCAGGAAGTCAGTAACCCTTGCACTAAGTATCTCAAGTATTAGGTAGCTATACTGTGGATTACAGAGAGATGTGGAACCTCAGACAAGTCAAAGAAATTACATCTTACAGCAAGAACATCACCCACACATCCAGATTTCCAGTCTTTTCCATGTGGTTATATCTGAAGCCCACCAAAGCACATCAGAAGCAAATTAGCCCTATTTCAAAATTCCTGGGCTCTACTCTTTACTAACTAGATAATATTTTAAATAAATTGTGTTTCTTTTACAAAGGTTTGTTTCCTTGTGTGTAAATTGGAGGAAGGAACAGCACCACAGGGCTTAAGTGAGATGTCAAATACTTATTAATGGCAGGCAGAGAGTATAATATGAATGTATGCTGGTATCAAAGCATGAGAAAGACGAGCATCACATTTTATGTTTCCAGTGTACATGAGCACACAGACAAACATGGCAGAAGTAAGAAGTCTTGAAGCCCCAGCTGGTTCTCTCCATCCTCAACAAGCCAACTATCACTGAAAATCAGAACCCTGGCTGGAGAATTGAAGCAATGATCCTCTACTCTGAACACTCACTGGGGCACTGGAGTCTCCATAGCAGATTGGTAACCAGTAAGAGCTACATGCAAATTGGTAGACACTGTAGGCTCCTTGATTAGCAAACAAGTTCTGCTACACATTACTCTTTAATGCAGGTGGTGCTAGATAGTTGTCAAGATACAGGCCAGGAAAGAGTAGTCTGGAGGGTTATTTCATCCAAGCCTTTCCATTTAGGAAAGGTTAGAAATGATAAAATCTAACTAAAACATTCAGCCACGATGTTAAAGTTGTTCTGTCAAAGAAAAAGCTTCACCAGAGGTAAGTTTGTGTTCTTACTAAGGAAATACACTTAACTTCAATCCATCAGCTCATTCGGTACACAGAGCACAATTAAGCAATACTATGAATTACAGGCTGGTCTTTAAGTCAAATGATTCATCTTTAATCTTTATGCATTTTAGATAATTCAGTTTTGTTAAATGACTGGAGGAAACAAGTTATTTACTTTAAAGAATACTTTTCATTTTAAAAGGCTTACATTACCATAACAAATATCTGTATCTGTCTATTGAGTTAACAAATAACCCTCCACCCCCCCCCATGAAAACTATTGCCTTACACTGATGTGCAAAGATATTGGTTGGCATAAGAATTCAAAAAGAAAAAAGTAAGAATTTATAACAACAATCAACTTTGGTAATAAAACGCTAAAATAACTAGCCTCTAACCCAAATTTAAAAAAAAAATTAAGAACTCAATGATCTTATGGGGATCTGGTAAATAAACCACTTCATGCATTGCTAAGTGCCAGGAAAGTAGACCTTTTTTTGTTTGCTTTTACTCTTTTGTTATACTCTTTAATTTTTAAAAAATGATTTGTTTTTAATTTATGTTTGTTGGTGTTTTGCCTGCATGTATGTCTAGGGAAGGTGTTAGATTCCCTAGAATTGGAGATACAAACAGTTGTGAGATGCCTTGTGGGTGCTGAGAACTAAACCAGGTCCTTTAGAAGAGCAGTCACTAGAGTTCGTAACTGCTGAGGCATCTTTCCAGACCCATTTTTCTATTATATAAGTCTGCAGTGACTTGATTGGCACAAAAGTGTGCCCAAGCTAGTTAACTAGTTAAGTTAAAGCAGTTGTTTTGTTTATTGGGCCCCACTGTGATTCTTAGGAGCCTCAAGACTGAGAAGCAAGGTTCTCATGAGGTAAATGTCCATCTGTCAATGAGACAAGGGGCCACTCAACTGTGATATGCAGCTGAGACAAGTGAGATGGTTAATAAAGTTTAGGTCATAATGAAAATCTAGCTCAACTAAATATTTCTTTGTAAATTTTGATATGGTTATAATGAACATTTCCCAATTATTCACTTTAATTATATTGGCTAAGCATACACAGTCAAGTTGCTATTTGACGTAAAAATACGTGTAACATGGAAATTTAAGCAACCCACTCTCAATCACACAAAACTGGGCAAGAAAATAAAAACCAAACAGCTGTTCAACGGCAGATAGATTTATTCCCTCTACCTAGGGCCAATAGTCTCTACTGTCACTTTCTACGGCCTCTCAATGAAGGAGGCCATCTTGCATAAGTCACTCTTAACTGGATATAATGAAGGGGAATATTCATGCCTTCTTGTTCACCCCAATTATTGAGACTAACAAGAGACAATGAGTTATGTAATCCTTATGCAATTCATGTGTCACTGAAGACATTGTAAGTCTGCCAAACTCCAAAAATTTAAACACCCTAATG